AGATAGTTGCTGTTACATGTGCTATCTTCAATATACGCAGACAGAAAGCGGCAGCGGGCGAGTCAATACGCTGCCTTAATTGCTTACAAGTTGTTTTTGTTCTTGTCGCCGGCCGTGTTTATCGTTTAAAGTGGAAAGCCTGACCCCAACTGACCCGGCAATTGGCCGACTGACCAACCGACTGTCCAACCGACCGGCCGACTGACAACGGACATCGTTTTGTCGGCCCCAGTCTGTCGGCATTGATTTTTATTGAGCTCTGCAACCTCCCTCTCGACGCCACGAATATATATCTACGAAGCGGGCCTCAAACTGCCCATTTTATGACATTTTTAATTACTTATTTTGCTTAAAACTGTGTGCGGAGTAGGCGAATAAACAAATGTTGTCGCAAATTCTCTCTGTGTGTGTGTGTGTGTGTGTGTGGGAGGGTAGGTTATAGATGTATAGAATCAGCTTTATCCATGTTGGCTTCATACACTTGCAAAAATATGGCTTCGTTTATAGGCAAATAAAATAATGAAAATTGCGATACGAGAATGCTTCTCAGCAGCAGCGGTACCAGCAACAGAGAGAGTGAGAGAGAGAGAGAGAGAGCAGCGGAATCATCACCAGGAGTCCTTTGTTTGTCTTTTATTAGGATAGTAAAAGTCTTTATTGTTGCTCTGCACGCTGCTGTTCGAGGCTGGAATTGTTGTCCGGCCTGTCTGCCAGTCAGACGGCCAGCCACTTGACCAGGCCCAGCATAATGACGACAATGACGATGCCGTTGTTCTTGTTGTTATTCTGACCTTTTGTCCAGCAGCCTGGCCGCTGGGGCATTGGGGCGCTGCCCTGGCAAATTTTTATATAGTTTACCATATTGCTTTGTCATTGTTGCTGTTGTTGTTGTTGTTGTTGCTGCTGTTGCCGCTGTTCCTACAGCTACTGCCTTTTGCTGCAAATATTTTTGAAAGAATGAGGCCAAAAGGCAAACTCTAAGCATGGCATCATTTGGAACGCAACCACAATCCGGCCGAGGGACATTGACGAGAGGACAAACAAGTGCTGCCAGCTGTGTGTAACTCAATTCTCGGCGTTGTCTATGCTGATGTCTAAATGGACATATGCAATTCGGAGCTGGCTCGCATTTTGATTGTGTTCATTTAGCTAAGTTTTATGCTGATTTACTTAGGCCGCAGCCAGAACGACAGAGCGACAGCCATTTACGACATTTTAACGCCTCAGTGATAAAATCTGAGCACGCGATATATAAACCCCTGGTCAGGCAATAAACTGGGCGCACAATGAACCGCAAAATGGCGCAAAACTCATTGAATTTAGACTGTCGAACTTAATGCCTGTATCTTTGAAGTTTATCCTATTCAATTTACAATTTTCAATACCGAATGAATTGGGTCGTTGGGGCTCACAGTTTGTTTGATTGAAATTAATTTCAAATGTCGTTTCTCACTTGGCGCACGCCACAGTTACCAGGGCGACCCTGACCTCGGGTGCAAAGGGTTCGCCGGATTGTCTTTGTGCCTTACCCTTACCCAGCCGGCTGCCGTGTATCTAATGAATATTTAAAATCCAGCACGCCCTGCAGACACAGACGCACACACACTCACACACACACAAGCTCACTCACACACACACAGAAAGAGCTCTCATGCTGGTTGCGCTGGCAGCGCATTAAATAAAATTGACAAGTATATTGAATGTGAAATTTATTTAAATAACCCGAAATCGTTGGCGCTTAAATAAATCCAGTTTAAGTGCGGATTTTCGTCTATGCGACGTGCACAAAAGGTAAGCACAGCGTCTATACAATACTTAAAAAGTAGCTGACCCTGCAGCCCAGCTAAATGGTATTTCAGTTTAAAGCACATGTGTTTGCCAACGTTTTTCTCGACTGACCATGCCTTGGCTTTAAAGTAATAAAATATGTTTGATATAACGCATACGCCACGTGGTACGGCAGCTATCTAGCGATATGTGTGCTTGGCTGCCAACCCTGACGCCGCCATCAGCCCCAGAACTCATCTCATTTCGCATCAACAATGTAGCAAAGTTTCTGGGCCATCGCAGACCGCAGCGGGTTTCAGCATTGAAATAGCAGAAATTTTGATTTTACGACCTTGTTGCCATCATTAACGTTATTTTATGATGACGCTGAAACGACCTCAAAATATTGTGGCGCAACTTCTCTTGGCCCTGGGACTTGCACTGGCTTAGCACGGCCCCCACCAGCAAGCTATGATGCTCGGAAGTATAAGTAAAAAACCAATAAATGTTAATGAAAATACAAGAGACAAAGTTTAGTTTTGGCGGCAGGGGCAACGCCAGCCCCCGCTGCAGCATGTGTGAGCCTACTTTGTTCCTGTTGCCGCCTCCCGAACGATTATGTTATTGTGTGCGTGGCATCGAACATAAGCTGATAATATTATTGCGCTATTAATGGGCTCAGGTTTTTATGGGACTTTTAATCGCTTTTGTTACAGTTACCAAAGTTGCAACTATAACTTGACAATGCTCAATGCCGCACACAAAGGGATCGAAGAAAATGTTGCGTGTGACTATGTATCTCCAACTCTCTCTCTCTCACTCTTTCTCTCTCTCAATTTGCTCGCTCTCTGTCTTGGCTTTTTTTTGTGTGGCTAGCAGTCAATGCAACATTTAGTTGCGGCCAAAGGCAAAAACTAATTGCGAAGCCAAACGCACTGCCAACAACTGTGGCTGTGGCAAGGTGTGCGCCGCAAGCGGAAAAGCAATTTAGCAAATTCTTTGTCGTTTGGCAAATAGAAAAACCAACTGCGAGTGGCTGCCCACCCCTTTAGCTGCCTGCTGCAAAATCAATTTTAATGACACGATGGAGAAAAAGCAGAGCGCTAAATATATACCCCATATATATACCCCATATATATATATATATATATATATATATATATATATGTATAGAAAACCGCTTGAATAGCAAAGAACTGAAGCGAAGCCGACAAACTCAAATGGCACGTCTATAAAACGCCTCAGACCCTAAATGCACTGCAATTGCTTCACGGGGGTGACATATGCAACCAGTCATTGCTTTTGTTGTGGTTGCAACGAATGAAAACATGGGTAAACACCACAAAAGTTTAGAAATAACTTAGAAAACCAAAACCCAAATACCCTAACTTGATATTTACAGATAAAAGTATTATTACAAAATAAAAAAATTGTTTGCTTGGGCGGAGATTGGACAAGCTTTTCATGGCGGACTGTAAATCTTTCTCTGGAATGCCTCTTCACATAATTCATGCCTTTAAGTGTATTCAAGCCGACATAAGGTGTATTGTACACACTTTGCTGCTGCTGCTGCTGCTGGAGGGAGCATCGCATAAAAGGTGTAATGAAGGAGCAGCCAGAAGAAGGTATTTCTTTGTCGCGTTGGCTTGTCGCAATTAACGTTCGCGGAAATTCCTGGCAGTCAAGCAAGCAACGGCAGCTGGCAGCCGGCGGTAGGCAAGCAGCGAGCCAAGCAACGCGCTGGTGCGTAAATAGCACGGAAGTCGTTGGGCCCACGCGGCGTATACGTGCTTTAAGCAAGAGAGCGGGAGAGAGAGAGAGAGAGAGAGAGCCTCAAGCTAGCAAGTGACCTTCTCTAGGAGTGTGTGTCAACTACTTTTGTTGCATGCTGCATGTTGCATGTTGCATGTGCTTGGCAAATAGCACTTGGCTTAGTATGGCTTCATGTCGTCCCCAACCTGCATTTAGCGACTTCTTTTTTTGTTCGCTGTGACAATTTGGCGGCCTACTTGTCGTTGGCATGCCATATGCCAGCCGTACACAAAACAATTGCAGCCATTACAGTTTGTAATTTGGTAATCAGCCATACGAATCTGCATAATGGCAATTCGAGCAGCAGTAGCAGTTGGAGCAGCAGTAGCAGTAAAAGTGCGGCGGGCTTCGCTGCCGTTTAGGTAAACCAGGCAAGAAAAGTTGCCAACTTTTAATTGAAGTGAAAACGACGATAACGACAGCATTGTTGGCATTGCTATAGCTTTGTTGCCAGCCCAAGGGGCTCTGAATGAGGACTCCGCATGGGGCTTTAACACACACACACGCACACATACACACAGATACACGGGCCCTGGCACACACATGTCGTCATGGCGTGCGCCATTGCAAAAACAGTTGCGGAATTGCTTTTTAAGCCCACAGCGCGTAGCATAAAAAAGCAGCAGAGCCGTACTCTAGGGTCCCAGGGATTGTGCTGGGCTGCTCTGCGAGGGGGCGCTGCAATTGGGATGGGAGGACTAAGCCTTTAAAACTCCAAACTTTTGAGCTGCTTGAAGTTTGGGGCTATGCGTATTTGCCTTTGTGGTCCGCGCACACACACACACATGCATATATCCCTTATTCAGCTCGTATTGGGCAATGTGCAATGTTTTGCTTGTCTATGGGTCGTTGCTAACCTGTTGCCGCGCCTAGCCCTTAGACTGGCTATCAAAGTGTTCTTTGCGATAGCACGGCAAACTTGCCAGTAAATGACCTTGAAGGGAGTGGCTAGCAGGTTGGTTCGTGGCGGAGGGGTGGTGAGTGGGCATTGCTTGCATAGCAGCACGCAAATATGTCGCCTGGCCCAGCTGTGGCCGTGGCACACGCCGGCGTGCCATATTCAAGACGTCGCCTTGAAGAACCCCGTGCGCCTGCCTAGCTACCAGACGACTCGCCTGCCAGCCTGGCTTTGATTTATTGATTTTAGTCTTGGCACACAGCATACAAAATGAGGCGATATTTGCCGGGCCCCCATTCGGGCCACATGTGGCTGCTGGAGCTCAGCAGCGCAGGACCCGCCGCAGTGTATATCCATTAGCTGCCGCCAGTGCCAGTGCCAGTGGCAGTGCCAACTGCTGTTTAATAAGCCACCACATTTAAAATATGCCAGATAACTAGAAAGTGGAATGCAGCTGCAGGCCAAGTCTGCTTCAGCAAATGGCGCAAGTTCAATTAAATCAAAGCTCGAGCATATTTCTTACCCGTTAGACAGTTCCGGCGCCAGACGCTGTCTGCTGGCGGCAATGTCTGCAAGTAAAAATGGGAAGACAAATTAAATTACGTTTAAAGTGCAAGTGGACCAAAAAAAAAAATAATAAATGCCTGACTTTGCTATGAAATGTGAACAAAAAATATACGTAATATGAACGGCATTGAATTGATATGCTGAAGCCAAGTAAAATCAAATTGCAAAAGAAGCGTGCTCAACCTTCAGATATCCTCATGGGAGTTGTAAAGTATGTATATCTTAAAAATTATAATACAGATTATAATAATTGCTGAAGACTTCGCTTTTTTTATATAATGCATAATAAAGATAATCATTTAAGTTATATAATTATACATTCTTCCTTTATTTATTCGCTTGATAAAGATAAGACCGCAGTAATCGATTCCAGCGCAAACTAAAACATGTCAAAAATAATCAATTAAGAAAATAAAGGTATTGATAAATCGAGAATTAATATAGCTGGAACGAACGGCTAAGCTAAGCTACGATTTTTCTTTAATTATATACTATAATTTGAGAGTTCATACTTCTGTGTGTGTAGAGTGTAAAGTGTGTTGAGAATTGAGGACTCTCTGTGGATTACTGAAGTAATTCACTAAATAAACGAACCTGAAACAATGCTGTTCATTATGTCGGCACACACACTTAAATTGGCCTTTAACATTAGTTGGCACAGATATGCCCATTTCGAGCTACGTCATCATTGCAGAGTATAAGAAAAGAATCCGCCAAAGTGTGAGAAATGGAACCGGCGAACGCCTCGCGCAATGAAACGGAATAGAATCAAGGCAACAAAAAGAAAAATGAATTGAGACTACACATAAAAGAAATGAAATCCATGTGGGCGGTGGCAGGAACCGGCAAGGCGAAGCCAAGACAGACCGGGCGCAAGATAAGTAAGAGAACAAAATTAAATTGGACATTTATCAAGAGATTTTTATTGATGCCCCAAGTGCCGGCCAGAGCAAACACAAGCACAAATACAAGCACAAGCACAAATACAAACACAAACACACACGACGGGGCGCCACAGCCGACTGGAGACAAAGTCAAGTGGCAGGAACGACAAATGCGGGCAATTATCGTTTTGAGTGTAAAGTTTTATTGGCAAGCGGAAAGTTGATTTTATTTAAATGTTGCCACTGGCGATGGCAGCAACAAATTGCGGCAAGACACGCAAGCATAAATTAGAGACACGCCCCTCCCCTCCCCTCTTTCCACCAGCTCAGGTTGGCTAACTAATTGCGGCCATTAGTGAAGCGGCAACAACAACAGCAGCAATGGAAACAATTATTGCGCATTTAATCACCTGCTGAAATTGTAATTGTGTTGCATACTTTTTGGCTGCCACTGTACGTACATACTTTTCTGTCTACAAATAATTACACGGCCAGCAAAACAAGGGCCCCATAAAACAAAACCCGAAGGCCGTCGACTAGAGAAATTCAGACGAAACATGAATTGTTGCCAACGCGATTTTGAATTTATTGCATGAAATTAACTTTCACAAAATAATTCACATAACTTTGGGGCGTGCCGAAGGGCCAGCCAAAGTGGCTTAATAAAATAATTTATGGTTTGGCAAAATGCCCATTTACCGCCACACAGCCCCAACCCTTGTCTTACTCTCCGCCTCTCTCTTTCTCTCTCTCTCGCTCTCTTGCTCGCTCTATCTGTGCGGATGAGCGCTTGTAAGTCTGTCCGGGCGCAGTCAAGTGCAAAAAACAAAGCAAATTAATTGCAAGTCAAAGCGAACCTTTGACTCCATGAACACAACGCACCTTTGCACACACAATTACACGCACACACTCAGACACACACACACACACACACACACACACACAGAAGTGCTATGGCAATGCCTTCATCAATATATCCTTTAAAGCCCAGCTAGCAGAGCCTAATCAAATGGGACAGCAGCTGCTTTTCCCGGGCTGCTTTACAGGCTGCTGTCCAGTGATGCGTACCTAATATGCCTTTGGCCATGGACACGCCCCTTTGACCGGATAAATGTGTATCTGACAGGGGGGCTGGGCCATGCCCGTTATAGCCCGTTGCCTTTGACTGAGCCAAAACCAAGGCAAACCAACTCTCTGGCCACCGAAGCATTGGACTGCCGGAATCAACAGCTGCCAAACAGTTGCCACGCAACTTCATGTTATCCAGAAGCATTTTCACGCGTTTTTTGTCAACAAATTTCACATCCCATTAGCCAGGCGTAAATTGTGGCAGCAATAGAGCATCATTTTATTTCATTAATTGAAGTAATGGATTCGATATCGAGCTCGAGCTCGAAATCAAAGCTGCCACTCATAAGTTGTAAGTGGTTCGGTTCGGTTCGGATCCCAGCTTCATCTTTTAGGGTTTCTGTTGTTGTGCGTTTCTCATTTCTCGTTTCCTTTCTATCTGCCTGACACGTTTGACAGCCTGGCGTTTGTCTTTGCTTAGTGGTTGCCTAGCAGACAAATGACAAAAATCCAAAAAACAGACAACATATCGACAAACATATACCCTTTCAATGGGTTTTCTCTTACGACAAGACGATTTAAGCTATCTTTAACCAAAAGCTACTTTTTCTATGAACCCCCGCTCCTCACGCTGATAAAAGTTGTTGTAAATCAATTAATTTAACTAAATTAATATTATTTTATTTGCAACAATATTGTCTAATGATGTATAAATTAACTTATTATTTTCTCAATTGCTTAAGAAATCATAATTGTACGATCTGGCAGCAAATATGTAAGGCCTGCATCAAGAAAAGCAGCTATATCCACTTTATTATTCGTCGTACTTCTTCTTTATATAGAAGACGTACCACACAGTTGCACAGCTGAAACACTTTTTAAAAGGGCATCTAGTATGCTCAATAGAAGCAGTCAAAATTGACAAAGGGCACATGTGACAAAGATGGCGACGTCGGGAGCTGCTGCTGCTGCTTAGGGCTGGTTGCTGCAGCAACTTCTTACACTTGAGGTGACAGTGCAACATGTGCGATTGTCGAGTGTCAGCGGCAAGCATGCCACAGACAATTCCAGTAAAAGCTTTGCGCCGCGGACAGTTGCGGGTGCTGGCGGCTGAAATTAAACGCGACCCTCCAGCCACCCGGCCCGGCCACATCCTGCGCTGAAAGTGTTATCGTGGCAGTTGCAGCGATGCGGCTAAGCATCATAACTCAAGTCAGTGCCTGGCGACTTGTCCTGCCACTCGTGCAGCGTGAAAAACCTGCCAAGATGCTGAAGAGTCATCCTAAGGCGTCGCTGCCAGCATTATGCATGCGTCCCAAAGCAGCAGCAGCAGCAGCTGTTCCAGCAGCAGCATCTGCCTTTGCATGCACTTAACATGTTGTACCACAAAATCGTCAGCCATATGCGGCGCATATTAATTTGATGGCACTCATATTTATGCCAAAGCAAAGCGATTTCCTTCTCTATGCTGTGTTGCCTGCTTCTGCTTCTGTCACTGTTGTTGCGACATTTTTTGACAAGTTGCACTCAGAGTCAGCGTCAGTGTCGCTGGCGAGTCGTTGTTGCATTTGCAATGCGAACAGGAGTCGCAGCAGCTGGTGCAGTTGCTTTGCATATGGACGGACAAGTGGAAACAGAGGCAGCCCAGAGAAGGGCGCTATGGCAACTGCAGCTTCAACTGCCCCCCCATTGCGACTTTTCATCTTTTTTCGCAGCACTTTTGCTTCGTTTTTTTTTTGTTGTTGTTCTGGCGCATTCTACTTTAATTATTTCAGCGATGCTGCCGAAGCCACTGGTAACGACATCAAATTTACATACGCAATTTCATTGTTGCCGCAGGATCTGGCCATTGTCATGCTGCTTGTTGTCCGTCGCAGTCGCCGTCGCCGTTGCCGTTGCCGCCGCTTGTTGCAGTTTGCCTCGTCTGTCTGTCCCTTGCCACAAACGCATTTTATATTCAAATTTTTTCGCTGTTGTCTGGCAGTCATCGCAAATTCTGCCAATAGTTTGGCTTCCTTTTTGTTTCTGTGCACTTGACTTTTGCTTGGGGCCTGTTGTGTAACCTCTGTTGTCGTGGCCCCTCCCCCACTCCACAAAAACTCCACTTGCTGCTTATGTGCTCATAATAATCAGTTGCAGTTACCGCCCCCGCTCGAATTTAGCGTCGATTTTACAGGCACTTACACACACACACACGCGCACACCCGAACCCAGTCGGAGCTATAGCCAACAATAACAAGTTTCTGTATGACAGAGGGCATAGAAGATTTGTGCAAATTTATGGAACAGCCAGGCTAAGAGCAAGCAGTTGCAGATTCCATTTACATATGATTACATAGAACAGAATATCATGGTCGACAGTCTTCGGCACTTGTATAATTCAAATGCAGCAGGAACTGCCTCGAAAGGATAACGAAACCACTTGGAATATATCCTTAACATTATTTTTTTTTAGTTTCTTGTATCGTAAATACAACAATTGTTTGTCTAACGATACAATAAATGAATTTTGATAGCTGAAAATAGGGAGATCATTTATAATTTAAAATACGGATTATTAACATATTTGTCGAATAGCTATTGAATATATAAATTCAATCCCAGGATGTTATGGCTACACTTACAGAAAAGTGTAATAGAGTTGGACTTCGCTGCATGCCTCAAAAGCACGAAAAACAAAGAAACAATAAATTCCGATAAGGCAAGATAAAGTCATAGAATCTAATTTCACACCTATCTCGTACTATCGATAAAAATAGTTGAGAGGAACGCGTCATTTGCACACATCTATTTACCAAAATCTAATTTAAGGATCATGACCAATATGTCGCGTTTTGCAGCTCTACCGGAGAAGGTAGCGTTGCGTAACGCAATATGTAGTCTGCTAACTTATTTTTGCATAAGCTGTAATGTATGCATAATTATTCTAAATAAGTTGCCATCTATGGCTTTTAATGCCTTTCGCGGCAGATTGTTTATGAAGTTGAAGTGCAGTTGATGCTTTGGGGCTGTCCAAATGTCAACAGACAGCTTTTAGGCCTCTTGATAGC